TCAGGCGCCCGCCGTCATTGTCCGAGAGCACAAAGATGGTGCTGTCCTGCGCGTCCTCGTCAATCGTGCTCAGCGTGCCAAGGACAATCGCCTGCGAGCGAACCTCCGGCACAGGCTCAGACGCAGCAAACACGACGGCCGTGGGTGGCTCCTGCACGTCCACCACATCGAGGGTGAGGTTGGCTGTCGCGAACACGGTGCCGTCGTTGACGTCGCTGCACCACACAGCAAACGTGAGCGAGGCGCGCTCCTCGAAGTTGACGGTCATACCCGCGGCCACGGTGAGTGTGTTGGGCGGCAACAAGGAGAGCAAGGCGCTGTCGCCGCCAAAGAGCAGCTGGCACGTGTGCTCGTCACCGCTCCTGTCCTCATCAAACGCAACGATGGTAGCGATGGGGATGCCTGGTGGCGTGTTCTCCGCAACAGAGCTCGTGCTGAGCTCCAGCAAGTACGGTGGCTCGTTGACGTTGAGGATGGTGATGTTGAAGGTGTTAAACACCGTGTACAGCAAGTCCGTGGCAACGACGACCACGTCCACAAAGGGGGTCTCCTCGTAGTTTGGCGCGTTGGCAGCAGCGAAGGTCGTGCTGAGCGTGGCCGTGCACCGCGTGCCACCTGTTGCCACATCGCCAACACACGTCGTCGGGCCGAGCAGCGAGGTACAGCGACACGCTTGCACCCGCGTCAGGGTCGAGGACAGAGACGATGCCAACAGCCGTGGCAACGGCGTTCTCCTCCACCACATCGCCTTGTAAGGACAGCTGGCGTGGTGCCTCGGGCACATCAACCACGTCTATGAACAGCGTGGTGACGGCGTCGCGCGCACCCTCGCTGTCCTCGGCCTGCACATCCACCTCCACCACACTCGACACCTCAAAGTCAATGGCATCTGGTGCTCCAACAAACACAAGCTGCTGCTGTTGCTGTGGAGAGGATGTATTGATGGGCTGCACCTCAAACAGGCCCGAGTTGTGACCGGCAAGCACGTGGATGGTGATGGGAGTGGTGGCGGACGGGTCGTCTTGGTCCGTGGCAGAGACAATGCCCACCACTGTGCCGGCTGCACTGTGCTCGTTCAGAGAGGAAGGCTGCAGCGTGACTGCGCTTGGTGGGTCGTTCGCGTCAAGCACGCTCACAGTGATGGTGGTCTGCAGCACGTTGTGTGCACTGTCCTCGGCGCGAATGATGACGGCGACGCTGTCCTGTGTCTCAAAGTCCAAGGGTGAAGCCAGGACAAGCGCGTATGCGCCCGTGGATGGGTTGCGCACAGCCTCAAACACACCCGCAGGTTCGCTGGCCACAGTGACGTTGTGTGTGTCGCCTGCGTCCTGGTCCACAACAATGATGGAGGCAACGGTGCTGCCCACAGGCACGTCCTCTGCAGCCTGCGTGGACGAGAGCGCAATGGCTGTTGGCGGTTCGTTCACGTCTTGCACAGTGAGGGTGAATGTGGCGTCGGTAGCGCCGCCGTTGCCATCGCTGCATGCCAGTGTGACGTCGAAGGTCTGCGATGCCTCAAAGTCAATGGGCTGCGCGTCAACGAGCACGAGCTGCTGCTGTGGTTGCGTCTCGCCTGATGCCGTGCAGGGATCATTGTGATGTGGAAGGCAGCTCCTGCTGGCGCGCCAGCACCGGAGCCACGACCACCACGTCCGCCGTCTTCCATCGCGTCAAACCATATCACGTGGCCAATTGTCGAGCGCGCGCGAGGGGCGGAGGGACCGGTACCTCCGGAAGACAACTGAAGTTTGTCAGGCCAA